AATTGGATTTCCGATCTTGGGAGGTTGGATTCGATGACAAATTGAAAATCCATTCGATCAAATATCGGGCGATACTTGCTGTTCTGTAATGGAGAATAGAACAAAAACCATTTGGGCCTGTCAGCACAGCCGGATGTTGTCTGTCGCGTCGATTCAACTCAACTGAAGGGAAACCCGCGCGGATCCCAGCTTTCAATGGGTGAAATCCGAGGGAAAATACCATTTAATGGGGGAAATCTGTTCAAAGCTCAAAACGATTTTTTTAATACGTCGCGACCATGGAATTGTTTATTTACAAAATAGTGGAATTGTTGCAAATCCATTCCTTTGTCATTTCATCAAAATTAAACGTATTATTATTAATTAATCCATTCATTAACCTAAGCCATTCATCCATCAATCCATTCATCCATCAATCCATTCATCCATCAATCCATTCATCCATCAATCCATTCATCCATCAATCCATTCATCCATCAATCCATTCATCCATCAATCCATTCATCCATCAATCCATTCATTCATCAATCCATTCATCCATCAATTCATTCATCCATCAATCCATTCAATCATCAATCCATTCATCCACCAATTCATTCATCCATCAATCCATTCATCTGTCCATCCTCCAATCCTTTATACACCCATCAATGCTATATTTACCATTGAATGTGTTCCAAAAACCGTGCATAACTCCCTTTAAGTCCTGTTTAGCATTAATTTTAATCCAACCTGACTGCATATCTCCATTGACATTATACCTGAACATTTCGTCTCTCCGTTCAAATCTACATGAACATTTTGTCTTTCCATTCAATTCTTTATGAACATTTCGCCTCTCCATTCACATTCTACCTGAACATTTCTTCTCCATTCAATTCTTCCTGAACATTTCTTCTCTCCATTCAATTCTACCTGAACATTTCGTCGCTCCATTCACATTGTACTTGAACATTCCGTCTCTCCATTCACATTCCTCCAGTGACAGAGTCTTACACCAATGTCCCATCTTTGTCCCTAGTGCACTATGAGAGACAGGCACGCCTCCGGCCGTACATCTCTTGTGTTGCTGCTCCATACAGACGGTGATTCCCTCGACACCCAACAACACTTGGGGCGCGCCGTCCACATCACACAAAGTTTTCATTGAATCCCTGGGAAACTTTTCATGATTTTATAATAGTTGATGGGGTCATAGGTTCGGTACACTCTCCCCCCCCCCCTACCCCACTAACTACACACACATTCACACGCATAGTGGCGCACACACACACACACAGGCAAACCGTCTTGCCGCGAAAGGCATTTCATAAATCCGTTTTGCTCCAACTCAATAGGACCATCTCATACTCCATCAACGGATGTTGTTGTGATGTGTGTACAATTCTTTGGTCAACATCTTGTCAGTTGAAATGTTTTTTTTTTTTTATGGACTTTGAGAGGAGGATGTCATGAGTGTAGTTGCTTTTGCGTGGTGGCGGGCGTGAGATAAGGAAAAGTGGTGCATTAAATGATTCCACATCATAGTTTTAGCACGCTTTTAATTATCTCATATGCAAATCTATGACGTCATCTTAGCTAAAAATATCTAGTGTCAAATCAGATGGAAATCTATGGTAAGCTCTTCGATAAAAATATCTAGTGGGAACTGAAATTCGAATTTGTATTGGTAGTTTGACATTGCAAAATAAATGAATACACATAAAGCAAACTTTATCACTAAAGATTTTAACATAATTTCTTGCCATAACTTGCCAAAGTGGATGTATGTAGTAATAAAATGGATTTATTCTTTTCTTCAGATCATTATCCAATGAGTCAATGCCTGCAGAAAGCACTCTCTTGGATTCACATAGGTGAGTTATTCACTCTTGACATTTATTCTTTTCAGTAACACCCCTTTTAGTTTCCTATTATCATCTCCTGAAGGTGAGGGTCACACAATTTGGCGAAAAAGTGATTATCCGGACAGTTGCGACTTTTAGTGGAAATTGTATTTTTTTTAACTGAAAAGATAGAGAGAGAGAGAGAGAGAGAGAGAGAGAGAGGGAGAGAGAGAGATAGAGAGAGAGAGAGAGAGAGAGAGAGAGGGAGAGAGAGAGAGAGAGAGAGAGAGAGATAGAGAGAGAGAGAGAGAGAGAGAGAGAGAGAGAGAGAGAGAGAGAGAGAGAGAGAGAGAGAGAGAGAGAGAGAGAGAGAGAGAGAGAGAGAGAGAGAGAGAGAGAGAGAGAGAGAGAGAGAGAGAGAGAGAGAGAGAGAGAGAGAGAGAGAGAGAAAGAGAGAGAGTCTTTGGGCTAAATGTCAATGATTACAATATCCTTGGATTAATGTCCTTCAGCCCAATATCCCTAGGCCAAAAATCACTGATCATCATATCTCTGGGCCAAATGTCCTTGAACACAATATTCCTTGATCAAATATCACTACTGATCACTATATCTCTCATGGGCCAAATGTCTTTGAGAACAATATCCCTTGGCTAAATGTCATTGAGTCGAATTTCCCCGAGGCCAAATGTTAGCGCATCAATTGTCTGACCATGGAGTCTAAGGTATGCTCATCTGACCATAGAATCTAAGGTATGCTCATCTGACCATAGAGTCTAAGGTATGCTCATCTGACCATAGAGTCTAAGGTATGCTCATCTGACCATAGAGTCTAAGGTATGCTCATCTGACCATAGAGTCTAAGGTATGCTCATCTGACCATAGAGTCTAAGGTATGCTCATCTGACCATAGAGTCTAAGGTATGCTCATCTGACCATAGAGTCTAAGGTATGCTCATCTGACCATAGAGTCTAAGGTATGCTCATCTGACCATAGAGTCTAAGGTATGCTCATCTGACCATAGAGTCTAAGGTATGCTCATCTGACCATAGAGTCTAAGGTATGCTCATCTGACCATAGAGTCTAAGGTATGCTCATCTGACCATAGAGTCTAAGGTATGCTCATCTGACCATAGAGTCTAAGGTATGCTCATCTGACCATAGAGTCTAAGGTATGCTCATCTGACCATAGAGTCTAAGGTATGCTCATCTGACCATAGAGTCTAAGGTATGCTCATCTGACCATAGAGTCTAAGGTATGCTCATCTGACCATAGAGTCTAAGGTATGCTCATCTGACCATAGAGTCTAAGGTATGCTCATCTGACCATAGAGTCTAAGGTATGCTCATCTGACCATAGAGTCTAAGGTATGCTCNTTTTTTTTCCATTTTTTTTATTTTTTTTTTTTTTTTTTTTTTTTTTTTACAAATCCCAAATATAATTTCAGTATACTTTTTAAAAAAAAAATTACGGTAACTACTTTTACAATAATTTGTTTTTTTTTAAAAATTCTGGATTCGAGAAATTCAGCATAGGGACCTATAAATGTTAAAATATACTGAATAAAATGTTGTTCTGCATCGCTAAGAAAGTAAGGGTATTCTAAAATGTCGATAAACAGAAAAGGGTTCAAATTTCTTTTTTCTTGGTTCCATTTGTAAAATTGTAAGTTTTGAACTGTAACAAATTAAAAATGGCAACTATTTGTATGTCCCGGTTTAACAAAGTCTGGCTCTGGTCTTTTGATTCCATATCTGCTTGGCTAGAAGCTTGTTTAGCATTTAGACGTTGATGTCACCAACACAGACAGAGTAATCAAAATGATTAGGAACTTAGTATTGCTCTAGTGCAAGACAACAGGACAAATGGATTTATTTACTTCAAGTGCTTGGTTTGCGAGCACGTGATCAATTCTAACCAATTAGAAAACGTTTAAAACCTCGGCCCAAATCCAAGAGAATTTATTTGACCAACACTGAATCCTTTAAAGGCAAATGTTATAAAGAATTGTTTTGTTATAAAGATATCAAATGTGATTGATTCGGTGAGTGGGGTACATCCATTTAGTCAAGTCTGTGTTGGTGGGAACGACTGCAGTAGCACAGTTATAGAATAAGCTATTTGCATTAACAGTATTTCCTTCTTCGCTGATATGCGTGTTGTCCTTGTACTTTTAAATTCGTAATGATGTCAATGACTTTGACCACGAGCGTGTCCTATTCAGCGCCGTGCCGACGGAAAGCAGCGCCCGGGGCCAAAGTCTGAAAATACCACCCCTCAATAAAGAGAAAAAGTAAAACATTTGATTTTGGCGCCCTGGTCTTTGTGAAGTACGCAGGATTTTATTGTTTAATTCATTAGTAACGTCCTATATAACGCCCTCAAGATGATTCCCCCCCCCCCCTCCTCACCTTTTCNTTTTCCCGATGTTGTCCCCCTGCCCCCCCCCCCCCTTTTTTTTTTCGTGCGGCTCTGAGTCTACCTGTAGCACTGTATGTAAGATATTTTGTCAATTATGGAGGAAAAAAAAAGCAGGCAGTATTTTCCAAAATTGATTTTAAAAAAATTTTTTTTTTACTTTTTGGAACTGATAAAGTCTTCCCGTCAGAAAACTTGAATTGTTTAAAAAATGTATCTCTTTGCTTTCACAAAACAAGAGTAAATTTGGCAAAGTAAATATGCATATTGCTTTCAACTTGAGCCCTTTCCTCTGATCTCTATCTCTATCTCTCTCTCTCTCTCTCTCTCTCTCTATCTCTCTCTCTCTCTCTTTCAAACCACAGCCAAACAGAAACAAAGTAACAAAACGGAAAGATAATCGTTAGTTAATTTCATCAGATTTTAAAAATAGTTGTTGCTTCCCTTGCATTAACTCTCGCTTTATTAAAGGTAATAAATAAGCATTATTGAACCGTTTGTTCCACGATTTGTCATTGGCTCATTGATTTTCCGTACAACCAATCAGATCTTACAACCCATATTGACGCATGACTTCCATGTTTTGCCATCGCCAAGGGCGCTCCGCTTGAAAACAGAAACTCAGTCATTCCTTATGTCGTGTAAACACCATGCCTAGCTTAAAATTGATTGCGCCATTAAGGGGGTATTTTTATATCGAAGAAATCGATAAGAGTGTACGAATCCGTATGATTGAAATCGAAGTAAGAGGGCTGGACGACCAGTTGTGGTGGTTCAATCCCACGGTCTATGCTGCCATCGTAAATCCAAAATGGCGGACTGCATCGATTCGCCGTTAGAATTTTCTGATTTTGTTACACCTACACCCCTGAACCCGATTATTAAAGGCACTGAAACAAAGCATTTCTTACCTAGAGAAATATTTACATCAGATAACGATGAATTTAACTTCTTTTTAATCGGCGTTGATCTCGAACGAGAAACTAGTGTTGCGTGTCATGATCAAGTCAATAAAATTCAAGTCCAAGAGTGCCAAGACTCTTCACCACATCTTGAAAATACTGACATAAATGAGGAAATGCTTCATCCTCCCAGCTCATCCGTGTCATTAACCTTTCCTACATTACAAGATATTAAATCACCCAGGGCAGGAAATTCTTTTAATTCTCCAGTACTTTTTGAAATTGGATTTGACAAAAGGTCTGATAAAGTTGAAGTCATTGAAATTCCGACAGAACCAAATAGAAATCTACAAGAAGCTTTTCTTGAATTTCGCAAAAAACGACAGGTAGGGATTCACCTGTTCATACCCTAATGTTTCCTAAATGACCCCAGAGTTGAATTTATCTAAATCTAAGGTGACCATTTTTTTTTTTCAAAATTCAAACCAAAACAGTAAAACATTGAAATAAATTTTAAACCAGGACATTTAAATAGTTTTGGTGCTGTAACTATAAGTGTCCGATAATAAGCAATTATTTGTGTTTTCACAGAAAAAAGATTCTTTCTGTAAGGCGTTCTTTTGAAGACAAAAAAAATTAAATATATGCCTAATTGTACCCTAATCGTTATTGACATTATGACATTTAGATAAATTATATAGCCTACTGGTATTTTTTAGTTCTGTTTTTCTCTGGATATCAGATGTACTTGATCTTTTTATAAACTGATAGTTTTAGATTTTTTAGTTTAAAACTGTACTGGTACAAAAATAACCAGTACAAATGTCAGAAATCCAGTACTGACTGACAGTACAAATGGTCACCTTAAATTTCTCACCCATATCAAATATATTCATTTTTATATTCTGTTTTATTTGTTTTTTATTCTTATAATTATATCTGTACTTGGGAATACTTTGGGATTCTTAACTAGTAAACCTTACTGCCTTACACTTGCACATCTTTGGCAAAATCATCTCCATCCCATAAGTTATGGGTGTGGGCCCTTTCCGCTGAGTCTGAGATAATGTATAATTAAGAAGGTAGTTGCCTTGCTTAGTATAGAGCTGCATTTTTTTTTTTAAATAATTTTTTTAAACATACTGCTGGCAACTGAAACTAAATACTTCTAATTCAAAGAATCTATGATCACTCAAGTGTTATTTTAAAATCTGCTGTTTTAGTGAGGAGCAGGGTCCAACCAAGTTAATATTAATAGTATCCGATTTGATTGATATATATCCCATCTATCATTATCATAATGTTGTTGTTTGTAATATCTACTTGTCTTGCATCATTTATCATATGTGAACCCAAAGTGATGAACTGACATAACAGTTGAAAACTGCTGATCTGGAGGCTATTTTTATCTCCTTTGCTAAAGTCCAACCCACTGGGTTAAATTTATTCCAGCAAAATATAGAGGGTGGAATTTTGCGAGTGTATATAAAATAATTGTCAAATAATAAGATATAACATTAGTCAAACTTGAATGCTTGACTTGACTTTAACGTATTGAAAAATTCCAAAGCTGAAAAAATTGTTCAAAATGTCACCTCGTTTTAACTTTGAAGAAATGGGTCTTTCTGTATTTAATAAATCATTGCTCTGAAGCAAACATTTTGATTATTTCTCCACCCTTCTTTCCTTACATAATAATACTTAAAGTTGCCTTACAACTGTGCTAAAGATACATCACTGATTTATAGAAGAGCCTTTGATTGAGGTATGAAATACTAGTTTTACAACATTCCTTGTAGATCTTATTCCATTTGTATAGACCGACCTACTCCTTATAAACCATAAACCCCATCCTTTTTACACTATCTAACATAGCAAAAACAAAGTAAACATTGCCCCAAAACACTTGAATAGTATTAGCCTTACTAAACAATTAAAAATATAATAACTTACATTTTAAGGCAAAATATTCAGTCACAATAAAAAGATTATGTCATAAAGGGTTTTTTCTTCTTAAATCATGAATAGAAAATAGATTTCACATATTCACTAACATGAAAATAAAAACCAAAATAAATTGATTAAAAAATCTATGGAATTAGTATTAGAGTGAACTCTACTTCATTCAAAAAATGTATTTTTAGTTTCACACCAAGAGACTCAAATGCAATAGTTGGAAGTTACATTGCAACTCACTTCCCTGCTTCACCAAACTAAAAAAAAAAAAAAAATCAAATTTTTTGCCTTTAAAAAAACAATAGTGAGAAATATATTGATTATTTGAATTGATTACTGGTAGCTAGAGTTAAGCATTGCTGCTTAAAGGCATGTAACATTTTATAACAAGTTTTTAAATTATTATTTTTTTTCACAAAAGATGGAAAAAATTTTTTATTTTCCTTACTCTTTTTTGGCTTGACAACCATTCTTTAATGAAGACAAATTATGTACTTGCTGGATTTAATATACCTTCTGATATACTGCAAAATACACAACTTAAAAGTATTAGGCAATAATAATGAACTTATTCTTCAACAAAAAAAAAAGCAAAAACTACTTGATTTGTTAAAATTTTGTCTACATGAAATATGTATTGTAATTGTTTGAATGTTTGTTCCTGTTGTTGACCACAATATCTGTGTTTCATGTGGGGGTCAATGGAGAGTGTGTTTTACATAAATTAAATTGGATTCATGTTTGTAATGGTTCACATCACCCTGTCTCAGAAGGCTAGGAGTTCTTTGATTGGATGTTTTTCATAGCGTGGCTGATACAGACCTGGGACCTTTTTTTCTTTCTTCTTCTTCCAAACATCATTGATTTGTTGATGCTCAATGCCATGGCAACCATGATGGCCTGCTTTTGTCAATGTGTGCAGAACAGAGGCAACAGATCTGTGTTAAATAGCACCTAATTTTGGATGGATGTTGGTGGTTGATCGATCATCAGTGATGGAGTTTCAAGTGATTCTTTGCATTTTTTTTTTCTTTTAATTTTTTGTCCATTCATTTTATTTCTTTTACATCTGTACCTTAAATACTTCACTCTGTTCATACAATTGATTGTCAGCATAGTTGTAATGTAAGGTGTTTGATGTGTTGGATGCGCAAACTCAAACTGTGGATGAACATTTTGTCCTTGTGTTTATCCAGTAATATGGAGTGTTGACTGTGAATAGTGTCCTGGTATTTTGTCGACGTCATTGTTCTATTATGTGTTTGTCCCTTTTTTTCTTGTCTCAGCTCTTTTCATGCATTTGACCAGTTATAGTTTTGCATGGCTTCTATTTATTATTTTTTTTACAACTTGTCCTGATATCCTTTTCATGGGTCTGACTAAACTGGACTATCCTGAACTGGTCTTATCCTGCACTTAAAAAAACTACTTGGTCTTCAACTATAAAAAAAGGGTGATTTTTGGCTTCACTCTACTAAAGACAGTTTTTGTCTAGGTGTGTGTTCTCTGACTCTGAGCTTCAACCAGTGGATCCCAAGCAATTTGTAAACATTTGTTCTTTGTTAAAATTATGGTCCAATACGGCTTTTGGTGCTGCTTTAACTTAAAAGATGTACCCCAGGTACGTTCCCATTGCCCCATAGTTACCACGGCTACAACGTTTAAAGAAGTGTTACGATGAGATTGACTGAACATCAAATGTAATGTTGGGGAGATTTCAAATTATTATTCGGGCTGGGTATGACATTGTTTGGGATATTTTGATTGATACTTACAACTCCATAGTCCGTACAGACGTTCACTTACGGGATTAGGGTTGTGTGACGAGCTTACTATTGATACCAAAGTCTCAATTCAATTGATAGTGATGCCATATTAATGATATTAGATAAGTCTCCTTTTGTTGGGTTTAAGAAATTTTTTTTTTTTGGGCCCTGTTCGTATTTTTTGGAAGGTTTTAATACTATTGTCATTTTAACACTTAAACAGTCAAATTGGCATTTACCAGTTATACAGGAGCTAGGTGTATAGTACTACCGGTATATTAATTGTATGATTTTTTTACCATTAGTGGTGCCCTGTTAAAAATATTTGAACTATCTATTTAGAGCAGGGTTTCCCAACGGTGGGTGCACGGCAAATGAGTCATTGCCTTCTATGATGATGCCAATATATATATATATATATATATATATATATATATATATATATATATATATATATATATATATATATATATATATATATATATATAT